CAATATATAGCATTTTTATTTGATTGAAGAGGAGGATTAATTACATAAAGAGCAGTTCCTAAAATATTAATTTTTCTCTTGTTTTGCATTTCTCCTTTTCACAGGACCACGATTGTACTGCAAAAACAAGACAATGAAACATTTGGTTTTGAAATTCAGGTAATCACATTTTATACTCATTAAGATAAAGTAGCTTACACGTCGATGTCATGCATTTTAATCTCTGATTCTAGAGGATTTTTTATGCTCACTTTATGTGTAAGAGGATCTTTTTATGGAAAGGTATTGACAAATGGTCTCTTGTTGCAGACCTACGGCCTGCAGCTGAAAGACAGCTCTGCGGTGGAGATGTGCACGTTTGTGCGCAAAGTGCAGGAGGACAGCGCTGCTGAGAATGCTGGCCTGACTGCAGGTGAACCACCCACACCCTCTATACAGGCCCTACACAGGCTTACACACATACACAACCCTTATTACCTTTCCTGTGAACATATTGACAGTTATCTCACTTACCACCCATGTCAACACCTACACACACACACACACACACACACACACACACACACTCTGATGCACATATGCCATGCAAAGTCATGTTGTCTTCTCGTAATTGATTAGTTCGTTTTTTGCATCCTCATTTATTTGCAGGAGATATTATCGTCACCATAAACGGGGTCAGCATTGAAGGATCATCTCATCCGCACATACTTGATCTCATAAGAGAATCAACCAACAGTCTAAAGTGAGTGAGAAAAATTCAAAAACTGGTTGTGCAACAAAGCACAAAAAAATCTACTGTATAGAAATAAAAACTATGATTACAGTGCTGTTGACAGTGTGAGTGAATATGTGTTTTGCTATGTGATTCCAGGATGGAGACCGTATGTGGGAACATAGTGAAGCAGATAGAGCTGGAGAAGAGGATGAACCTGCTTAAGGTGTGTCTCTTTGACCTTGCCCATGTTTGTTGTTGACAGACTGCGGCTTTTTGGTTGTATAGCAGCCTACAAACAACTGGCACAAGTAAACCCAGCTGGCAGTAATGAAAGAGCAAAACTGATAAAATGATCTTACTGGAAGTAAAACCCTGATGTTTCTTCTTTTTTTTTTGCCCATACAGCAATCGCTACGTGAGAAATTGGTGGAGCTGCAAGCCCTTACATTACAGGAAAAACGTCTAACGCGAGGTGAGAGGGTTTGGTCGGCTGTCAGACCACAGCGCTTCCTTTCTCACAAGTCGTCTTTCTAAAGCGATACAAATGTATGATGTGAATTCAAGTGTGTAAACTCCAGATAAATTAGATCAAGGAGTTCCCCTGACAAACGAACACAGATGATTCTGAAGAACTTCCTGTTGTACACTTCTCGTCATCTGTATCTTTCTCTCACAGGGGCTTTTGTTATGCTTTCAGGTAACTTGAACAACAGCAGCCTCCACCTCTCAGTGGACTCCTCAGCCATTCTGAGCTCCCCAACAGTCCGCTGTGGCCGGCGTTTTTCTAGTGACAGTAGTTACAGGAGCATGATGACGGATGACAGTGACCTGGCCAGCGTGTTTGGGGATCTGTGCTCTCCCAGCCCATGCAGCGCAGCCAGCACCACAGACGACAGCTGCTTCTTCTCCAGAGATTTCTCCTCACATGACAGCTCCTGCAGGTTTTCCTCGAGCTCAAGCCGACATCACCAATCCATCAGCCGCTGCAGCAGCTCCAGTTTGGCCGGAAGCAGCAGCTCTCTCTCTCCTTCCTGGGAGGACACAAGGATGTCCTCCTTGTTTGGTACCCTGCCCCGTAAAAGCAGGAGAGCCAATGTTCGCAAACACATCCTGAAGTTAATTCCTGGACTCCAGCGATCAGTTGAAGAGGAGGAGATGGGAACAAACACTCAGTGACTTGTTGTTCACATGCTCCGATGTGTCTATATGTTGATATCAAACATGGTTTCTCATGCTCTGGTTGCAGAAAGAAATATACACTGTGATGAAGTGTTTCCCCACTCTTAAGGTTGAGTTAAACCTTTATAAGAAATCTGCTTTTGCCTTCATGGGAACACAGAGATGACAGACATTTTGGGGCTTGGCATTTGTCAATGTCAAAGTTTACTCAAGAGGGTTCTGAGCCTTAAAAGTGCTTGGCTTAGACTTGTGGTAGCACAAAAGCATTATGGAAATATTATGTTGTTTAAATAAATATGTACATACAGTATTACAATGTATATAGATGAGATTATGTGTCCTACTAGCTTGAATATAAAACTGCATTCATTTGAATTGTCTGAACTAGTAGCTGTATTCATGTAGCACCTTGGATTTCCAAATGAGCTTGTGATCTAAAACACAAGACAACAATTATTTTGCAGGTCAGATAGACATTTAAAGTCTTCTTCTTCTGTCACGTTCAGGTACTGAAAACCAAAACCAAAGCTCTCAGTATAGATATTCGCTCGGCTCAAAACAGGATGTGGGCACAAGTGGTGCTACTTAACAGTTTTAATTTCCAACGTTATGTTAGGCTGCGTACAACTGTCAGTGTTCGGTCAGAAACACTGAAACCGTTTCTTGTAAATTCTGAATGTAACTAAATGTGCAAGTTTCACTTTCAGTGGCAAGAAAACACAACTTTTTACAGAATGTCATGCTTTATATTTTCATATCAAATCAAGAAAATATGTCTGCAAAAAAATAAACTTGAAGTCTTACAAACCCACCAGTGTTTTCCCTTCATATCCCAGATATAACAATGCACACTCATTCTAAAGTTCCACGTTCAAAAGGAAAGATGTAACTTGTGCATATAGCAGAGTGGGATACATTGATGGTGATGCTGGTATTACACATCTTTTACTCATACACACAACCTATTATTATTCTTGGGAATGCACTATTGTTTGTTAAAAAATGAAGCTAAACACTTGAGAATAGAAACCTCACACATTTCCTGTAAGAAGTCTCACTTCTTTGGTTTCCTGCTGCAGCTGCTAAAGAGAGAGAGAGAGAGAGAGAGACACACAAACGGGCATTATCATATTATCACATTATGATCAATTAAACAGAGCTTTCCTGCACTTGATGATTACCATTCACAAGCAAGATGACACTGTTTATTTTGAAAGCTGCAAAACCAGGAGAAAAATCATTTAGAAAATCACTTCTTTTTCACTTGCTTTGTGTTATGAAGCAGAACATGAAATGGTTGAATGGAAATGCCTCTTGCATGCAGACAGTATGGAGGAAGTATTCACATCCTTACGTACAAAGACTAAAAGTAGTTCTGCAGTAAAATATCTCCCATGACGGATTATCATAATAACATTGTGCATAAGCAGCTTTTTACTCTAGCTTGTTGGATCTATCTTTAGCTACTTATACACAGTTAGGTAGGTTTCCAACGTAGTGGTGGAACCCCTCCGAATGGTTACAAGATAAATCTGAGGGTTGTAACATGATTAAAGGGAGATGAAAATCCACAAATCTGTACTTTGAGCTTTGTCTAATCTTTTACCTTTTTGTACCTCGAACAGTGCTGATGGTATGTGTTTGAACATACCGTTATATCAGCATTTCAGGTGCCTTAAGATACAATGGTATTCACATTCACTTAAAACGGGGCTTAGCTTCAAACGGGGAAACACTGTAAAGAAAACCTTTAGGAGAATGTTAATCCCAACTCAAAAAGTTACAGAATGAAGGTGGTCACCCAACAGAGATTAGCAAAGCATGAGTACAATCACTTCAATATGCAGATGCCAGAGCCACAAAGAGTCTTTGTTGGGGCAACAACAAAACCCCTGTTCTTTGGTGGTTCAGCATGCACACAGACTTACATGGTACTATAGCACTAGAGAGCACACTAGAGAGCTTGACCTTGCGCTGCTAACTGAAATGTAGGATGGATTCCTTCGTCACTCTTTGACAAAGCAGGATAAGAAGTACTTCTGGTAACATGCTTGGAATGGTGGAGTGCTCACATTTTTATTTGAGAAATAGAGAGCCAAAAAACAGCTAAGAGCATTGAAGCGCTGACTATTTTCAATAGAGGAAAGATAAACAGTCAGATGGAGATGGAGACAAGCACAATGCCTCCAAAGGCCCCGAGGCTCACAGTAGAAAAAGACGCACTCCCATCCCCGGTACTGGAGATCATTGGAGGGATCACTCTTGAGGCCCTCCAGACTCTGGAGGATCCTGAAGAAAGAGACGTGTGGTCGATGGAGGAGGGAGATGACTCCGTGTTCTACAGTGAGGAGGACCGAGCTCATCAGGAAACAAAAGCAAACACATCTTGTGGTTTTGGTGCCGACGGCTGCAAGCTCCTTGTCAACTGTATGGCAGCTGAGGATGAGGATGATACGGAGGACGAATCCATTATGGACGAAGAAATCGCAGAGTTGGAGACGGAAGTGACTCAGCGGGTCATTCTGACTGAGCAAGAAGAGAAGCAACAAGAGCTCCAGAAACCAAAAACTGTACCTATGGATCAGTCAGATCCTGCAGAACCAGGAGCAGAGTCTAATCCAGCTCCAGAGAAGTCAGCGAGCACCTGTGGAGAATCTCTAAACTGCACAATTACAGACATGCAAACACAGCAAAACATATCAGCAGAAAAAGGTAAGAGGAATTTAACATTATTGTGTAGTAACACAGACTGTTTGAAAGGGATGTTTTAGTTTACAGAATGCAAAACAGATTCTTCTTTTCCTCTTCGTTTCAGTGAATCTGCCAGTTGAAAAAGAAGAAGTGACCCCAAAACTTGAACCCTTGTATGAAACCGACGGGGAGCGTTATACGAGGCTGAGCGGGGAGGCGGACGTCCCAGAGCAGAATTCTAGTGCTCAACTCCAGATGTCAGGTGACAGGCAGCTTCAGGTGGAGCCAGAGCAGGACCAGGACTTCGATGTCCCTGTGGGGTTTCATAAGAACTCCAGTTCAGGCTGTTCCACTCTGCCTCTGCCGAAGAAATCCTTCAACCACCTCTCTCCCTCCAAATACGACACCCTGTCCTACCGCAAGATCCGCAGAGGCAACACCCGCCAGAAGATAGAGGAGTTTGAGTACATGGTCGTGAATTTATAAGATGATGGATTTTGAGCTCTTTTAAGGAAAATGAAAACTGCTGAACGGGATCCATAACAAAGCTGACATCTATGCCATGTGGCACACAGTTTACATACTTATTTGTTCTAAAATCTCTGATGTAACTCTCCAGGTGACACACGATTTCCAAATGAGTGCTATTTATATCTGTTGTGTAGTATCTGATGGGGGAGCAAGGCCCAACAACCATGTCATATCTAAGATGTACTTTGTGTTTTGAGTTGATGGTTTTAGGATGAAAACATCTCGTTATGTAAGACAGGTATTTGAGCAGATTACATAAATAAGACGCTCAGGGATTTATAATCCTACTAATAACTAAAACATTGTTTGGTATTAGCGCTGCGGTATCTTAACCTCTAGTAATGAGGGTAAGAATGTTCAAGTGATTACCTAAACATACATACTTACATGTCCTAAAGGCTGGTGGATAAAAACATAATAAAGTGATACATGCTATTAAATCTTTATCTCCATCGTTATATTTTTAGTTTCTTAATCAAATCCATTTCTATCAGTGCGTGGTGAAGGGGTTTGATAACGGGTCACAACATCATGACATCACAGCACAGGTTTATTGCATGTTTTGAACAACACTTCCCTCTAGTGACAAGAAGAAATATATACAAAAGGGACAGTTTAAAAAAAAAAAAAAAAAAACTACACCTAAATAATGCTTAAAACCATAGAAGCAGCTGTTTCAACCACGTGCCTCATCAAACATAAAAGTAAATGACATCTAGAAAAGATGTGTTTTAATGCTAATACATTCTACATGGCAGCCAAATAAACTCAATCAGTCCCCGCAGAGCAAACAAAGAAAGAAAAATCACTTTTTTCCTCTCACATCTAAGAGTCACTGTGTAATCTTTGGCAGTGTGATGAAATGGAGTGTTCTTCTGTAGACAGTCACCCGAATCCCTTGAGCAAACTCCGGTCCACATCTTCCTAAACAGAGACAAGAAGCTCTCTTTCCTCCGGTACAAGTGTTTAAAACCTCAACGTCAGTCCATGGCGATATAATCAAAAGGAAATTAGTAACATTGCACATCCCCACATCCTCTGCTTTTACACCACACACACACACACACACACACACACACACACACACACACACACACGTTACTGCCACTAAAGCGCGTCCCTCCTCCTCTGGACAGTCGTGTGTCGAGTCTGGACCACAGACCGCGCTGTAATGTGAGGCCCCTGAAGGTCTCTATAGTGCACGTTTGACACATTTTAGTCTCGTCACAGAGTGTGGTAGTGTGTGAACTGCCACTTTTGGAAGGCGTTTCTGGTTTCACATGGATTCAGGTGAAGAGCGTCACCCTGAGGCCCCGCCTCCAGGCACATGTGGTTGGACACAAACTCTGCGATGAGGTGCTCCGCCTTCACAAAGTCAAAACATGGAAACATGATTAACTGACAAACGCTTTAGCCTCTAAACGCTCTTTGACTCTACGACACTAGTTTCCAACTGAAAGCAACAGTCCTGTTGTTTGAAGTACAGAGAGAAAGACAAGTGTATAGAAAGGAGAGAGGAACAAAGACAGCAGACAAAACAAACGGCACGCCCAAAGTCAACCTACCAGAGCGGAGTTGGATGATTTGTGGAACCAGCGATGTGCAGGCTTGGCGTTGTCACATAATTGTAAAGCAAAGCCGCTGCCCTTGCCGTGGGGAGCGACACATAGATCTTGCTGGCGAACGTGTCTCATCCAGGTGTAATTAAAGTGCTGACTCTGAATACCGGAGATGGGGAGACGGGGAGAGAGGGAGAGAGGGAGAAGAGTGACAGGATGTAATTATGCTCCATTAAAATACTCTAGAATCTAAAAAGACCACATTTAGAAAGGCCTGGTCTCCTCTTGGACTCCACCCTTGTTTATCGTGGCTTGGGTCCGGACCTGATCTACATTTGTTCCTGGATACTTTTCTCTTGCGCCCGCCATAAGTCATGCCACAGTCACGAGACCAAAATTGCACAATTTCTAAATGTTTTCATCTGAAACGATAAACATTTTGCTATTGTTTCTGTTGCAGTGAAGACACCTACCTGCCTGCTGAGGTCACACTTGTCAAACGACAGAGAGCCGTTCTGCAGAGTGAGGCATTTTCTTAAGCCACGATTAAAGACCTACGAGGAAAAATGAGATGAGAAAAACAACTTTAAGGAAGTGAAACAACAGCACTGCAAACACGTGTTTACACATTAAGAGTGACGCATGACAATGGGTCTCTGTTTGGGCTGTCAGCAGAGAAAACAATAGATTGATGGCGGGAAAGCAAGAGATCTTTTAGGGAAACGTAAACAACGTTATTTTTAACTACATACCAGGCCCTCAGCTTTGACTAAGGGAGCCTTCATATCTGAATACACGTTATCCAGGTACCACTTGAAGCTCTTGCACTTGAGCCTCTTCCTCAGCTCAATCTGCTCGGTGAGGTTGCCGATGTTAACCGTCTTCTTATTCAGCAGGTGTTGGTAGCCGTGGCCATAGAAGAGGTCCTTGTACTCATCCAGCCAGACCTCCGCCACCCTCGCCAGGTTACGCTCCACCGTCTTCTGCCTGTCTTTGGGGAACTTGTAAGGATTCTCTCCTCGGAAGATGTGTCCCACCCGGGAGCAGGGAATGATCTCGATCTCCCCTCCGCACATCCAGATCTGTCCGAATGGCAACGCGGAGGATGAGTGATGTGAGAGAACTTCTGAAGGACTTCACAAACACCAGTGTGGCCGATATTAGATGAGTGATATACCTTAAACGAAATCTCCATGTTCTCCCCGCCCCACACGTCCAGGCCTGGATCGTAAGCACCGAGCTCATAGAAGTATTTTTTGTCGATGGAGAAAAGGCCTCCAGCCATAACGGGACATCTGTAAGATAAGGATAAATAAAGATGCAGCAGAACTAACAATACAATATGAATATGAAAACGGTTTGGGTACCTGATGGGATCGGAGACGGTCATGTTGTTCTTCTTAATGTACTCCTCTGGTAACGCACCCCAGCCAAAAACCAAAGGCCATTTGAAAACACCTCTTTGGAAGTTGTCAACCAGCATGTAACTATAAAAGAGGAAAGAGCCACAGCAACAAATGACATTTCCTTCCACATCACTTCAGATAACACGATCACATGACGCGTACGGCTGCGTCGAGTCACCTCATGTCCTTATCGCTGACGACTTCAATCACCGGGCAGGGCACCTTCTTGCGGTCCAGATAGACTCTCTCCAGCAGCGGCTCCAGCCAGCCCACGTTACATTCGATGTGGGAGTCGAGGAAGGTGAGAACCTCGCCTACGGAAACAAGCCGTCGTTAAACAAATAACCCCCTTGTGCATTCTAACAGTGCAGACCTCCAGAGGCAGCTGTTTGCTTAAGTAAGCACACAATATACATAAGTGGGAATCTACTGAACAATAATGTGCAACTCAGCGGGACTTTTTAAAATGGTAATGCTCTCATGTTCCAGTACTGTATTTGTTAGAAGACTGTTATTCCATATGTGAATATGGAATAATAGTAAATATGAAAACCATACATTAAAGATTTTTTGGAGTTGTTACCTTTGGCTACAGCAGCTCCAGCCAGCCTGGCCCGGATCAGGCCCTGCCGCTCCTTCAGACGAACGATTTTCACTTTGGGAAACCGGGACATATAGGTATCGAGCTGCTGTTTCAGATAGTCTGCCACGAGAGAAAATATTAGAACATGAATTTACAACACTCGCATAAGTCATAAACTGATGATATCAGCTTTAGGAACTTCATTAGTTTGTCCTCCAGAGAGCACTCATAGTTTATCATCAACTGTAAAATGTCTCGCTCCGTAAATAGTCACAACTCTAGTATCTTGAATAACGACATAATGGGATAGTAGATGGTTAAAAAAAAAAAAAAAAGTGCAGTTTTGACTAGGCTCTAGGGTTAAAAGAGACTTGACCCAAAGTAAATCCATATCAAAAACTAAACGTATAATAAAGCAATTAAGAGAATTAAGACCTACAGTCCTACCTCTAATAATGAAAGCCTAGTGTTGTCACTAGCAGTTAGCTGGTGCTTTAGCTGCTGCAGTTGAAGACTTATTGAAAGAAACGTGAAGCGTTCAGGTCTCCGTTACCTTTGGTGCTGAAATCATCCACCAGGATGATCTCTTTGAGGAGGTGTGGAGGAGATCTGTTGAGCACACTGTGCACAGAGCGGAGGAGCGTTGACCACACTTCATCCACGAAACAGAAAATCACACTGGTGGACGGCAAGTCATCGTGGACCAGATTCTGTGCACACCTGGGAAAAAAAACAACACAACAACAACAACAACAACAATTCAGCTTGGCGGTCGAAACACCTTTGAGAGGTCAAATGGTGCAGATGAAGACTCACATGTCAGGCCTGGTGTCTGGGACGGCCCGGTCCACGGGGATCTTGTCGCTCAGGAAGACGTTGAAGTAGCCTTCGTCCCATCTCTTCCTCACCTCGGCATCTTCGTTGCTGGCGACGAGTGCTGCCTGACCAAACTGGCCCACCGCGTTGGCATCTCTGGGAACGTCGGTCAGATCCAGAGAGAGCACTTTGTGGACACCTGGTTTTCTGACAGCAGCGGGAGACTTATCTTTGGAGTCTCCTGCTCGGAGCTTGATTGTAGGTTTCGGGGTTTCCTTCGCTGCCTTCGGGTCGTGTTTCTCCTCTATTTTACTGACTACATCCTTTCCTTTTACACCCATCTTTGGAGATTTCGTTGTTTTAACAGGGTGTGCCTTACTGGCGTCAAGCAGACCCACTTCTGCTCCAGTCTTGACTTTAGCTTCATTCTTGCCTTTTTCCAATTTGTCAGAGTTTTGTAGTGGAGCATGTTTGTTTTCCTGAACACCAGGCAGTACCTCAGGTACCGCCACTTTAATAGAGCCATCTTTTACTCTACCTTTCTCTAATTTCATCCCTTTCGGATCCAAGTTTACCGCTTTCTTCTTTGCAGGATCCTGCTTTGGTGTGACCTTGCCTACGGGGGCTCCTCCTTTATGTTCCAAAGCAACATCTTTGGGGTTGTCAGTCTTGGGAAGATGATCTCCTTGGTGATGAAAGGAGTTTTTACCCTGTTTCTGGCCTTCCTGTCTGTACACATGAGCTAGTTTGTTGCTTGGACCGAGTGGTCCCTTCACAGCAAGTGTAACAGCAAAGTCCTCCCTCTGAACTGGGTATTTGAACCCCCGTCTCCCCACCTGTGTGGCCCGGGACTGCTGTTTGGAGACCTCCCTCTCTCTGATCACTCGCTCCTTCAGCAGCTGACTGCCGTCGTCGTTCATTGACATGCGAAGTGCCACCATGTCCAGCAGCAGCCAAACGACAGAGGCGATAAACACAAACGCGAGGACCCTCCCACTTCCCCTCATGTATCTCATAATCTTCATCATTCGCGGTGTAAAAAAAAGAAAAGAAAAAAGAAAAGAAGACTTCCACGTGAAATACAAAATGTCAAAGTATCATACTGCGTGGCTCACCTCTAAGTTGTAGGCAAAGTTCTCTTTTCTTTGGAGAAGTTATCTGCCAGCGTGGCATGCTAGAAATACTCCACGGAGCGGCAGCTGTAGTCGGTGTTGCCAGTCAGGAATACAGCAGCGTCTGACACCCATAACCCAACACAAAGGTACGACGTAATGTTATTTTAGCATACCGTACCGCTCGAGGCACCTCCAACCGCCGCGGAACATTAACGCATTTGTTTAGCAAAACTTCGCCAAAAGTCTTCGTCACTAACATAAACTTCGCTAAAGTGGTCGGTGTCGTCGCTGAATCGCTCCACGCCACAACTTTGACTGACACAGTTTTTTGTTTTTTTGTGTGAGGACGTAGCGACCAACTTCCACTCTGTCAGTAAACTCTGATTGGACAAACTGGCAGGGAAGTGTCGGCCAACTGCACGGAGCTAACAGCAAGCTAGCCAGAGCTAGCTACAACGGCACAGGAAGTGGGGTGTTTATGGCCTTCAAAATAAAGCGTTCAACGTGCAGACGGAAACAGTTTGTGGGAAAAAGTGAGAAACGCGACTATGCTTGTTGTCCCACCAAAAAAAGGAAACAAAAATATGTTTTTGCTCATTTTCCAAAACTACTTGAGGGTAAACGGACTTCAATAATGAGTCTAAAACATGGCAATACAAATGGACCAGCCTTGTTTTACTACTAGCAGTTGTATTTTCTCATTTTTCTGCCCATGTGTTGTCTTGTTTAGTGTTTTCTCTCAGGGTCACTATAGATTTATTTGTTCTGCAGTGTTTGACCAAGTCACATGCTGTCCTCATGAAGAGATAGAGTCTGCCATGCAAACTTTCCATAATTCTCCAGGACTTCACATGCACATTTGCCTGATATCAGTAGAGAATTGTCAAGTCAACTCAATGGAGTTGGAGGATTCTGGACCCAGGCATCATCCATGTTGTTTTATCATCAGAAATCATTCGGCTGATGACATGAGGACCTTGAGTCGACAAACATGTGGACCTTGAGTTAAGACTGATGTTTCCAAGGCCTACTGACAGACAGGCTGAAGGGTCAATGTGTAGGATATGGCCATCATTTTAGTTCAAAACATTAGAAAATGTACTAACATCATCAACAAAATATGAAGAAGTTGCAGTGTTGATGTTGTGTCAAAGACGTATGCTAAACTGCCAGCCCAGTCTGTCCTGTGAGAGGCAATATTGAGTCACTATAGCTTCCAGTCTGCCCGCAGTCCAACATGAGGGGACAAAGAATTAGAGCTGCTCCGGGATTCTCAATGAAGTTGCAGGTACAGGGCATGTGTGCGTTCTGAGGGTTTGTTTATTGCATTAAATTCAAAGTGGCAGAAATGAGAAAATTACTCATGTTTTTCGGTTAATCCTCCCAGCTCCACCCAGGAGAGGGGGTGCAACTCCGGGAGACCTTCAGTTAGCAGTTAGCTCAAATTCAGCCATCAGTGAAAACCCCAGCATCTGGGTCTGATCCAGGGGTCCGCTGACTGGGCGTCCATCATGGACCTAGCAGTATAGTTGGAGCATGTGGCTAGACTTAACACGTTGCACCTTTTAAGTCAACATGGATGAGAAGTCCCAGCTGGTGCTCAAAATCATGGAACGTTTGAACACCCATAGTTCCATAAAGTAATCTGCTGATGAGGACCATGTGATGTGGTGGAAAGCTCTAGAAGAAGAAACTGAGGTAACCTAGAGTTGATATTGATTTTGTCAACTGCTGTGTCCTAGACCTAGAGTAAAGTGGAAAGCTCAATTATTGCAACACATTCTTTATTATTAGAACTTTATTCTCTAGGTCTCAACCGGAAGTGATTTCTTAAAGTTCTATAGTTTGACGTTGACGTCAAAAAGTACAGCCACGAGCCAATAGTTTCGGCGTCAATCAGCGAGCTACACACAAAGCAGAATGCCCAGTTTGTGAAAAGCTGATATGGTCATGTGACGTGTACCACGATTTCAGTGTCTTAAACAAGTTAGACCTGCACGGTCAACAATGAAAGCGACACACCTTTAAATGTAGTATAACGATAAACCTCTGTGAATAATCAGGAGGCTTTGTGTGCTGTCTGCGTGAACGTCATAGCTAACGTTATTCAATATAGGCGAGTTTATATTTGAACCCCATGCAAACACGTGTTGGCTAACAGCCCCAGCATTGCAACAATGATGGTATAAATAGCTTCATTTTAAATGCAGCTGCTATTTTCATCCTTTAATCTATGCTAAACTTTAGGCTAAAGTCATTAACCATTTTAGATTAGGGAATGTCAACAATGATATTTGACATCCTGACTTGTCAGCTCACTGTGATGTATTTCTTTTTATATGATCTTATCTGTTTGACCAACAACTTGATACATTTAATGTGGAGATCTGATGAAAAATCTGAATTTTGGGTTTTCTTAATTGGTCATAATGAGAATTAGGCCTGCTTTATTGTGAAATATTAGCCCTAGTGTAAACAGAGGGGAAGATATTTATTTAGGACTGCAACTAAAGATTATTTTCATTGTTGTTTAATCTGCTGTTCATTGTCTTGGCTAATACATTTGCCTAATTGTTTAGTTCATAAACTGTTTGTCTGAGCAACAGCCCGAAACTCCAACATATTCAGTATAACTAAAACGGAGAAAAATAGCTAATCCTCACATTCGAGAAGCTGGAAGTTAAAAAAAAACGACAATCGATTAATCAGCTTATCGTTGTAGCTCAATTTGAATGCCTCTCAAACTTTGTTCCTGTATTTAGAGACATTTCAGTCAGTTTGGCAGTGATTTCGACCTTTAACGATATGAAACTAAACAAACAAACAAAACAAAACCCCAAATCGTCATATTTTCTGCTTTGGTGAAGGGAAATCCAACAATACCTGGAAAAGCACAATAACCCTACACTTGTTATGTAAATTGCAGTTTTACCAAAACATCTTTGGTAGCAAAATATGCACATGACCAAGCACAGGAACACGATAGGCAAAGAACATTCTACCAATATCTTAAAATGCCAGCATTTCTCACACACAACACGCAGATGTGGACAGGCACACATGCACAATCACATTTGTAAAACCTGTGTTACTGCAGCCATTAGGCAGTGATTAGTGAAGGCGAAGACAGGTTTTCCTCTTCATCAGCAGGCCTCTCCTGGGAGTACCACTGGCTCCATCCAGCCTATTAGCGCTCCCCAACATGAGGAGGGAGGGGAGTGGTACCTCCCATGGTGGCTGCCCTTAGCCACACTACACACGCTTTCATTAGTGTGTTAGCTAAATGATTGGCCTCAGGACAGCCCCCGAGCCCTGCAGTGCACGTGTTCGCTTATATGTTCCATCCACTGGGCAATTTATTCATTTATTCATCCTATTTCTGCATTCGCACTCATGATGGCATCATTTGGTAAATTTGATTTGTATTTCCTCTAAAACTAGATGGGCACAGCGTTTTGAAACAGAGATGACCGAGCATACAGTCGGTGGAAGTCGATCACAAGCGTATAATTACACAGGATTTCGTTCGTGTGCAAACACACACACAGGTGTATGTGCTTCTCTCACCAATGGTGTACACTGTAGAGCTGAAATGATTATTCCATTCATTGATTAGTCTGAAATCATTTTCATAATTGATTACTTGTTTAAAGCATTTTCGATTGAGCTTCTCAAATTTGAGGATTTGCTGCTTTTTCTCGGTTTGCACATCCATTGATTTTGATTTTTCGGTCGGACAAAACAAGCAATTGAAAGACATCACCTTCACTTTTTCATTATTTTCTTACATTTTGCAGACCAAGTAATTAACTGATATTCAGTAGATTAATTTATAGTGAAAATGACAAGTCGAGGTCTTTAAATTTGACGATTTCTAGTTGAATGTGTGTAACATTTTTGACCCATCTGAATTTTGTGCCTGCGCTCTGAACAAAAGGATCCTTCAGAGGTTCTCGGAAAGAAAATGTATTTTTTTTCTAAGAAAAGTACAAACTGAAAACCTCTTGAGAATAATCACACAACAGCTCTTCACTGCTCAAGATCATTAACTATACCGCAGTGATCTATGGGCTATTATTATTTCAATCTCTGTGACATCCTCTGAGCTTACTAACTTTGACTGTGCCTGTTGACCTCAGTATGATAGAGTGAGTAATTGGGACGAGTGTAAGTAAAGAGGTAGCTCAAATGCCCACATGTTAAAATACTCTGATAATTTACATGTAAGTGCTTTCTGAATGAGTCCGTATAAATACTCACAGCTCCAGCAGTCTTGAGTTTTGAGAGTGGCGAGTCACCCTGACAAGAAAGTTCAGCACTTAATATAAGAAGCATGAAAAAAATAAAAGCCTTTTTTGTTTTGTTTTTTGGTCATAATTGACATCTGTAGCATAAAGCATTATGCCGTTTCCCGTCAAACGGATTACAGAAAATTAGGGCAAATGGAAAACTGACATTGACACTGGCATGTGTAAAATGAGCTAAATGTACTTGTATGATATCTTTAGAACATGTTAATTAGACCCTGGAATTAAAATTACAACAGTTGGTCTGTGTCATTTACATAGAGGTCATGTTGTGCTAATATGGCACTCGTTGAAATTAGACAGCCAGCAACAATATGGTTAAGTCTGACCCACTGACATTTTCAGCTCCAAATTATGCACATTGTGTGAATTAAATTAATTAGAGAATTCATTAAGAAATATGGCTCGCGGAAACGAGAATAATATTTAGTTATGTGATGTAATTTTCTTCCATTGTTAAAGATAATTTGTTTCATAACAGTTCCTGCGGTAGTTTCCCCCCTGTACTAACTATGATGTATGTAATTTGTTATCCATTTAATTAATTATGATTAGAATTAGTGAATGTACAGCTTGTTTTGACAGATGGTTTCCATCAGGGAGACCTTTGCACAATTAACTTATAATCAATTACACCCTATTTTTTTTCTGTTTGTTGCATCTTGAAGTTTTGTATGGAAAATATCCACAGCACATGCATTGTATGAATGCTTTACTTGGAATACATCAAATGAGCAATTATCTATAATTTGCCCGCTAATACAAAGTAGATGAAGAACTTTGATTCATTTCATGCTTTGTGAGATACCTGCAAGCTGGTGCAGACTGCTCACTTAATGACTGCTTCATCCGTGTTTAATTGTTCTGTTTAGCTTCTTATGTCCTCTGTTTGAGCAATTAATGGAATCCTCAAATCAAAAATGTTTCTCCCCTCTACATGAGAGAACCATAAAATATGTATTGATCGCTTTCCTGCATTTTTTAAAAACTCTTTTCTCAAACAGACACCGTGTAATTATACTCACGTTGACTTACACACTTTATTAGCGCCTTGTTTATGTCTGTATCATCTT